GCTCTACTTTTACCTTAAAATTTTTAAAACTTGCTTATTTTATGAAGTTTAGAAATTTGTCACCATTCTCCTAAGTTATCAACCCAGAGTAATCTGGTTAAGTATTTACCCTTTATTTTTTATAAAGTTCTTCATAACATTTTAGGAATTGAAAAATAAAAAGAGATGATGTTACAAGATACACTTCTTTAGTAAATTAGAACTTTTTCTTTTTTACTTTATTTTACAGTTGGTGCAGATTTCTGTATATAAACTATTTTGTATTACCTATATTTTAGTAATAGATTTGGTCTCAGAAATTTATATATTCTGCTAGCAAATTGCATATGTGTGTGTGTGTGTGTGTGTGTGTGTGTGTGTTGGATGGTTTGTACTTGAACCTGTTGTCCACTAACAGTCTCTTAAGCATAGAAGAAAGTAGATATATACCAGCCATCTACACTGTAGTTTACATCTACCACACCTCCAACACACAAAATCTTTCTCTGAAAAATTTAAGACTTTAGAAAGAAAAAAGTTCTGGTAAAGTATTTTAAAAAATACAAATCAGAAATTCCAATAGTTTAATCCACTTAGAGGTCATCATAATGCTAGTTCCTTAACATTAAGGACCTTTGTTGTTCTGAGAAATGCAGCTATTTGGTTTAAAAAAAAATCAAAACTTTTGAAATCCACAAAGCTAAAAAAGAGTGAAACTCTGATGTTTAAAAAATGCCTAGCTATTCATTAACACCTTTTCTAAGGGCAAAATGCAAGCTCTCAGCTTAATATGGACTAGGAAAACATGTAGAGAAAGTTACTTTACTTCATGTAAGCCTTCTAAGATGATAAAAGCCAGTATTTTTGAGGAACTGAAAGGTCTTTACAGAAAAATAAACAATGCGTCAGGAATTAAAAGAACTTGACTTCTAAATCACAGTACTGATAAAATCTTGCCCAGCAGTTTTGAAATCTTGGTCCATTAAAAATCTATTCTTCATCTACTATTTAATTTCATTTTTTTGACATTTTTAGTTTTTGTTTCTTAACAATTTATTTAACTGTCTCTACATCTTAATTTGTATAAGCTTTCTTTAACCTGGAATTATGTGACATTATAAAATTTTTGCTTAGTGTCAGCAAGAAATTGACTCAAGTGATACTGTCTGATAAATGTCCTTTTATATGGGCAAGTAAACAGGACCAAATGGCTGGGACTGTATACTAAGTCAAAGCTAGTGCCAATAGTCATATCTGAAAGTATGTGTTTTATATTTCATTTGTTATATACCTCCCACTCAAGATGACAGTTTTATCAGAGGCCTTTTCAACTTATCAGCTGCATAATAATTTTACTAGAACTTTATCCTAGTGTTTTCAGTATTGTCCACTTTGGTTTACATTCTTTCATGTAGTAATTTAATAGCTGATAGGAACTAGTAACAATGAAAATCTTTTAAGAGATGACTTTATGATATGTAAATTTTTATTTACTCATTTACAAAATTAATTTAGATTTCCACACATAACACATATATAATTGTAGCTTTATTTACATATTTGCACACGTAACACACATATCTTGAACACATAACTTTTTTTCTTAGAGAACTCTAGCTTCTAGGTCACGGGATGCAAAGCAAATGCTCAGCCTAGTCCTGGTTGTTTTTCCAGCTTGTTGATCCTCATTTGCCTGAGATTCTGTTTCTAGGAGCCCCTTGTCTTCAGTGTTATGCTTGTCATTACCTTCTCTATTTATGATCAGGCTGGTTTTAGGGACTCTTGGACTTGCTCTGTAATTGATGCACTGTCCAGTTTGTCTATCCCAAGAGTTTACTCAGCTGCAGAGGTCCCTTATTACTGTTCTAGCTATTTATTGTGTTTTAAACAATACTCTGCTATAGTGTATAGAGATTAATGACCCCTTGACAACCTCACTGTTCAATGACTCCTATTTGTGGCAGGCAGAATCGAACACTCACATGCACACACATTTATCTTTGTTTTCCTTTGTATGTACATCAACTCTCCAAACCTATGATTTCAAAACTTAATAACTAACTTTCTAGCAGTGATATTAAAGGTTAAAAAAAAACACAAAAGCAAAAGAAGGCTTAAGCTTTTTCCCTCGGTAAGAAATAAAAACAAACATTTTCTACATGTTAGAGTTTTATTTGTCCTACCTCAGAATTCAAAATTTTCAACTTAGATCAAAAGTTATTTATCCCACTCATATAAAATTGTTTCCAGTAAAAGTGAGCCAAGACTTGAGGCATAGCTCAAGTGGTATCTGGCAAGCACAAGACTATAAGTTCAAACCCCAGTACATGTACATGAATAGTGGGTGAATGGATGGATGGATGAGTCCTTGTGGGCCAAGAGTCATGGAAGTACAAAGGTAATTGTTCCTTAGGTCTTGTTTAGAATTGGCTGTGTTTCCTGACCATAAAAGACAAGCACTAAGCATATTAGCCACTCCTGTCCCATTGGGCCGTATTACCAGGATATTAGTATAATCATACTCCTCTCAGTGACTTTTGTCTATGCAAAACGGACAGGCATTGCCTCCTCTTCAATGCAAATCAGCTATTTAGGGTATCTGATAGTTTCTAGCTCTCCTATGCAAAAGCACATGAAGTATTTGTGCTTATAGGGAAAGCCTTCATCTTATGGTATATCAAATTGCTAATGGATATAAACAGCAATGGCCCACCATTTTTTTTCATTTTAGTATCTTTAGTGTGTTAATTTTATTTACATGACTTCATTTTTGACAGTTTTCTCAATATCCATTAAAGTTATAATATAATTTTTAAATAAGTTTTTTTATTGTGAAAATACTGTACCGAGGGGTTACAGTTACATGAGCAAGGTAATGAGTACATTTCTTATCCAACATTGTTGCCTCCTCCTTTGTTTTTCCCCTACCATCCCTTCCCTCCCACCTCCTCAATTACACCCCAACTCCCCCACCCCCACCTAAATTGTAAAGTTGCATCTTATACATCTCATTGTTGTAATGGGTCAAATCTGTATCCCTGTTTAAACATTTTGTTTTTTCCCTTCCCCTCCCCAAATTATACCAATATCAAATACAATGAAAACAGGGGTTATACCATGAGGGAGGGACATACAAAGCGACAGAAAAATCAAATGGTACCTTATAAATACTTTAGAAACAATAGCAAGGAAGAACAAACCACTTGTGTCCCTATCTTGGTGTTCATTTCACTTAACTTCATCTTATCTGAGCTTTTCTGCTTGTCCCAGACATATACTAGTTATTGCAAATAAGGGAAACCATGGGACCTATGTTTCTTTGGGCCTGGCTTACTTCACTTAATATAATTTTCTCCAAGTCTTTCCATTTCCTAACAAATGGGGTGATGTTATAACGTAATTTTTTAGAATATTCAGCCATGTAGTTATATATTGTCTTAGAGTGTTGGAAGACTTTACTATTATTGCTATTCATGCTTCTATGTTTTGATGCTTTCTACTTCATTTGAAACTTCAGTTGACATGTAGCAATAATACTACACACTTATGGACTATACATGTATAGTGATCAAATCAGGGAAGATAACATAGCCATTGACTTAGAATCATGTCATTTCTTTGTGAGGATATTTAAATTCTTCTCTTCTGGATTTTGATATGAATAAACAATAATCAGTGCATTATTAATGGTAAGTACAAGATTGCACTAGAGCCCCAGAATGTATTACTCTTATCTAATTGTAACCTTGTATCTGTCAATCAAGCTTTCTTACCGCAGGCCTAGAAATGCCTACCCCTAGCAAGCTACTGAGTACCTTGCACAGAAGCTGTGGTCTGTTAGGAATGACAAGTAAATAATGGGAACTTTGCCGGGCACTGGAGCTCATGCCTGTAATGTTAGCTATTCAGGAGGCTGAGATCTGAGCATGACAGCTCTAAGCCAGCGTGGGCAGGAAAGTCTATGAGACTCTCTAACCACCAAAAAGTCAGAATTGGAGCTATGGCTTACATAGTAGAGCACTAGCCTTGAACAACAACAACAAAACAAAACAAAGCAAAACAAAATATAAAACCCTCAGGGACTGTATTCAGATCCTGAATTCATGCCCCAGGACCTTGCCAAACTATGTCACCTACACTCTTTTCCACATGGGTATGTCTGAGATTTTAATCTTTTTAAAGGCTTTGAATGTGGCGAATGAAATAAAAATTATCGCAAATCACTTTTTAAAAAGACATTAAATAGTTCTTTCAAAAAATGGTTTATAAGAGAGGGTAAGAATTTTTTAAAAACTGAGTTCCCAATTGTTTCGTTCTCTTTGAGCAGTTGTACAGGGGGTTCAATTCAACGTGTCAATTTATGATGTTTATACTAGCTTTTCCAGCTGTTAATATACAGTTAATTTTTAATAGCTACTATTAGAATACATCATATAAAATATCCATTTAGAATTTAACTTGTGGTGAAGTTTGTACATTTTAGTGATATATAATGGCGTATATTGTAATTGATTACATCTTAGAGCCAGTGAAATACCATATATATAGAGAGAAAGAGAGAGACTTTTCCTTTTTCTTCAGAAGGTGATAATGTATAGTGGCTATGACTTCAGACATCTGTTGTGCATAGATTGCTTCTGTGCTGGCCTTGCCTTCTGTCTGCAAAATGAAAACCTGTCCCAGGACATTGTTAGACCTGAACTAGAATAGGCTTACAAAGTTCTTAACAAGGTCTCATGTACAATGGTTAAATAGCCAGTGCTGTGATAATTATCCCTATTTTTCCCAGTTAATTTGTGAATTAGTACACCTGTATGCTAAAGCCAATGCTGCCTCTATTTAAATTTAGAGCAAATCTTGAGCAAGGCATTTCACTTTTCTCTCTTACTTTCCTTTTCTGCAAAATAATGTTTTGGCAAAGATTAACTCTAAATTGATTCCGGCTCTAAAGTTCTGTGATTTTATATTCAAATTCAGAGGCATAATGTGATCCTAAAATGAATCTTGCTTGTGTCTTTCAGTTTGTGGGGACATCCATGGACAGTTCTTTGACTTGATGAAGCTCTTCGAAGTGGGGGGATCGCCTGCCAACACTCGCTACCTCTTCTTAGGGGACTATGTTGACAGAGGGTACTTCAGTATCGAAGTAAGTCCATACCGTTCTTTCCAGCTGCTCAGTTATGAAGCGATGTGAGCTTAGTGAAATAAGTGATAAAGGTCATTGCCTACAAGAATCCCTGGTCTAAAGCAGGGATTCAAATGTCCTTAAATGATGGGTGTTACCTTTCTTGCTTTCAATGAATTCCTGCTTGCTCTTTAGTGCATGGAGGTTTTAACCAGCTGGGTTAATAGTAAGATTTTGTTTCTTTTTGTACATTTTATCTATGTACAAACTTCCAAGTATATGTTTGTTTATTTATTTATTTATATTTCCCATTGGTAGAACTGATCAAAGTTGGTAAAGTAAGCAGAAATGTGTTTGCATGTATGTGATGTGTAATTAATTGTGAGACAGTAAGTTAGACAGTAAGTCACCTTCTTCAGTTGATAGAAAGGGCCCAGTGTGTCTGTGTTTATATACGCCACTTATGACTGCTATATTTTATTGTTGTTGTTTTTTTGAGACACCTATCATTGAAACTGAGGTAATTTGGCAAACTCATTAATTAAAACAAAACAGATAACCTTTGAGTAGGGGCTCTTCCCCAACGTACAGTCTGTAGGCTTCATGTTAGTAGAAATTACACTCAAAACCAAGGCAAGGGCTTTGTTTCATTTGTATATTTGCTCTTCCTGGTGCCTGAAGCTCTAAATCATACCAACCAACTAAGGGCTGGACAGGTACATATTAAAAGAAGCAGCTTGAAATAAGAATAAGTTTAAAAAATATTCAGCATAATATTTGATTTAATAAAAAGGTTATTAAGTGTCAAAAAAACATGCCACCATTAAAAAGCTTTTGTTTTAAATTTTTTAAGCATACCAGTTGCAGAGTTTAGTTATGTAATTACAGCTATTGACTGTCTCCATGTTTGTATATACATATACATATATATTATGCATACCTGTGGACATAGAGACATATATAGAATCCTATATAAACATATATAAACTCATTCACATACATATAAACATTTATATATTCATATACATATATAATTTTTAATACATTTTTCCTCCAGCTTGTTAAAAGTACCATTAAACACCAGAAGTATGCCTGCTCTATGAGTAGACTCATGAAAAATATAAAGACATGTGACAATAGTCATTGGCTCTTTAGAAACCCAAATCTCATATAGGAAAATATGACCATAAAAATCTGTGTAGACTCTTAAAACCTGGAATAGGGGATCATCCAATGTTTGAGTGTTTGGATGAATTATTTGAAATCTGTGATTCAGCAAATACATATTGTTGACTATAGAAAGGTGTGAATAACGGGAGTCTGTGGGTTTGGGGAAGCTGGGTGAAAGAACAAGGAAGATTTAGTTGAGTGAACCTCATAAGCTAACTTTCATGGAATGATTATGTACAGATGATCACAAATGAGGTAGTATCTGCCACAAGCCACAGCACCAGCCTCTACATTTGGTAGTTAGAACAAGGCAGAGAGTCATCTCTCTGGTAAAAGCCCATAGATGGGCACACAGGAGCTTGTATGCTTCTCTCCCATATCGGGTGTAGTGATGTGCTGGACTAGAAGCAGGGCAACCTCATGACCCAAGACAGCTATAGGGGCTTCCACCCTCCTGCTCTCTACATGATATTCAGAAAAAAGGCAAAAGAAAACAATACAAGAAGAAAGATCTGTTTGCCTGCAGTGGCACCAGTGATGTACAGCAGCTAAGGAGCAGAATTTGTTGATGTGACTGATGTGTGGAGAAGTGTGAGAAAAACATTGAGAAGTAGGAAATGCAAAGACAGCTTCAGGGTTTCTACCATTGTACATCTTCCCCATTGTACATCTGAGGAGGTAGTTAAGAAATGATTTTAGTATCCATGAATCCATCTTCTCCACTTAACTTTTTCAATGCTCTTAAGTCTGGATATGAATGAAATAGGCATTCTGTCTTCTTGGAAGCTCACTTTCTGTTTGAGGAAGTTCTGGTAACCTTTTTGTAATAGTTGTTTTTATCAGCCATATCATGAAGTGGTATGTCGAATAACATTATTATAAGATGTATTGTTTTTTATTGATTTTTTTTGTGGGTCCTGGAGGCTCAAATTCTGGACTTGGGTACTGGCCCTCAGCTTCTTTTTGCTCAAGGCTTACACTCTACCACTTGAAACACAACACCATTTCCACCTTTTTCTGTCATTAATTGGCGATAAGAATCTCATGGACTATCTGCTCAAGCTTGCTTCCAACTGTGATCCTCAGATCTCAGCCTCCTGAGTAGCAGCTAGGATTAAAGGTGTGAGCCACTAGTGCCTAGCTAGAGTTACGATTTTTAACGATGTATTTTGTATCTCTTTAATGTCACCAGAACCAAAAATAATATTGAATAATCTGGTCATGAAGAAAAGGCACTAAATCATAGTGCCTAAATAACAAATATCTGACTGTCTTTAGATTATGTGACTTGTTAATCTCTTTGGCTCTTCATTTTTGAAAGATAGATTGATTGATTGACTGATTGATTTGCAGTGCTGGTTATTGAACCCAAGTGCACCACCACTGAGCCCCACATAGCCCAGGTTTTTTACTAGAAGAGTGTAGCCTTTTGAATTTTGGGCCTCAAGCCACTTGAAATTTCCTCAGCGTTTGTTAATTAGAGCTTTTAGAGCTCAATTTTTACTTTAAAAGAACTTGAAATGCGGAAATCGCTTACTTGTTCCTCAGGAGATTTTATTAAGTCTAGTTATCTAGGTATTTGAAGTAAAAATTGCATTACTTTTATAGTATGTTTCTTTTGAAATTCAAGCAGAGGATCCAAGTCTGTGTTGGTGACGGATAAGATATAGGCGTCATAGTCCATTTAAGAATCCTGAGAGTGGTACTCACTAGACACTAGGCAGAAAATGAATTGTATATTTTGTGGGTGGGACAGGAGGGAAAAACGGGAAACAGTGATAGAAGGGGAGACATGGTTCAAAAAGAATTGTACTCATTACTTATTACCTGATTCATGTACTTGTAACCCCTCTGTCTATCAACTCAGCAAGAACAATTTAAAAAGAAAAGAATCCTGAGATGCATATACTGAAGTCTCCATCTTCAAAAGCACTCTTTATAATTTAAGTCTAAGAATAAGCCAGGCATTACAGCTCATGGCTGTAATTCTAGCTACCCAGGAGACTGAGATGTGAGGATCATGGCTCAAAGCCAGCCCCAGCAGTAAAATCCATGTGCCTCTTATCTCAAAACTGATGAGCAAATAGCTAGAATTGGAGATTGCCAACCTTGAGTAAAAAAGTTAAGCAAAAATGTGAGGCCTTAAGTTAGCACCATCACAAAACAAGCAAGCAAACAACAGCAACAAAAACAATAAGTCTGAGAGTATATACTTATTACGTACATACAAAAGTGACAGACTATCTTATATGTGAAATGATCTGTTTTATTTCAGCTGTGATCATTGAGGGGTTTTGGAAAAGCACCATGGCACCATATTAACATACAGCAGATATTTAATAAAAATCTGCTTATTGAGAATACTTTGGGATATTTGTTATGGACTTAAGAATACCACTTTGCGGGGCTGGGAAAGTAGCTCAATGGTAGAGTGCTTGCCTTGCATGCATTAGGCTCTGGGTTCGATTCCTCAGCACCACATAAGCAGAAAAAGCCGGAAGTGGTGCAATGGCTCAAGGGGTAGAGTCCTAGCCTTGAGTTGAGGAGCTGAGGGACAGCACCCAAGCCCAGAGTTTAGGCCCCATGACCGGCAAAAAAGAAAAAAAGAATACCACTTTGCTTGCTAGGTGTAAATGCTGTTGTTTGAGTGGTATAAATAATCTCATTTATTCCTCACAGCTCTTGAAGAAACTTGTAAATGCTTTCCTTGTATGTGGTGCCTACTCAGAGACTTGGAGAAGGTCACACACATACTAATTGGCAGTTCTAGCATTCAGACAGGACCTGTGCTCTTTCCATTTCCCCTGACTATGTTTGCATTATATTATTGGATATGCCACACTGAACCTCAAGAAATACACATATCAATAATAAAGAAAGTGATATGCACTCACATTTACCCAGGCCTGAGCAGAAATACACACACAGCACTCAACCCCACTTTGCTAATGGGAACTTCAAAATACTCTGTATGATATGATATTGTTTGCTTAGAAAATTCCTAAAGTAAGAGCTTCATTTCCCAGTATGTGTTTCTCCAGAAGTGTCAAAAGAGTTTTGATTCATCTCATCCATTCATGGCTATGCTGGAGTGTTCTCCTTTGACTCTGTTCTGAGCATAGACGTTTAATGTTTACCAAATCAGCTCAAAAGTAGAGGTTCATATTTCTGATAGTCACTGCTAAGTATTTCCAGACTCTGGGTAGCTTGCTCTGCATGGCACATGTTGATCATTTTGTGTACTCCCTATCCATCCTCCCCAATTTTGTCTCTCTTTTTTTGGTGAAATCATTTAGAAATCGTTTCACACAGTTAGCCCCCAAACAAGTAAGTCTTTGAGTAGTGATGAAAGAAATAATTTTGTTCAGGGAAATATTTTAACTTAACACCAAATACTATTTTTTTTATTGTGGCCTTATGCCATCTAAGATCTTTGATCAAGCATTTATATGTATATAGGTCTACAGTTGAATATGTTTCTCTGGGAACACAGGGGGAAAGCTCAGAATTGCAAACAGAGGCAGGCACAGCTGTTTCTTCTATTTGCTTCATCTAACATCTTCTAGCCATTCTGCCATGCCAAATGCCAGTGAGCTGGGCTGTCTTGTTCTGCTTACTTCCAGATCCCACCCCAGGCCTCAAACACATTTAAGTGTGACAGGTTGTTGTGTTTATTAGCTGTGAATTCATAGATCAGAATGAACCACAGCAAGCCAGGCAGAATTGCATGCTTCAGCCTGAGAATAACAAGCAAGTGGTATAGCATGTGATGGTAGGTGTCAGGGTAAAGCCAGCGACATGAGGAAGAAATTGTCTGGCTGTCTCCCTGTTGCCTGTGGTCTTTGCAGTATATTGCTATTCTGCTGCTGTTTCTCTGCATGCTTGTCAGACTCGGCAAATGATGGCTTAGAGAAGCTACATTTGACATTTCTGTAGTTTGGATCAGTTCCCAACACATCCTCTGTGCAGTGGTGGAAAGGCAGTGCTTTGGCTTGGAATGTTTCACGGCATAGAGAGCCAATCACCCAGTGAACCGATGTGTCGATGGCTTAAACTACATATTTTCTTTCTCATGTCCATGTTTCTTCCTTGATATTTACTTTATTTCCCTATGTGTTTTTCCCCCCAAGAATATTCATCATTAAAAAGCATAAACTACAAAGTCAGTTATGGGCATTATCATTATTTTCAGTGAGCTGATTACACTAATGAAGCAAGTGGTATATGTAGTGCCGCTTAATTGGGAAGGATTCACATATTAAAGTAGGAGAAAGCTATTTCTAGGGCAAAAAATGTTAAAAAAAAAAAAGAGGGGGTTCAGTCTTCTATATGGTATAACCCAAGTTACAACTCTTAAGTCATAAATATTTGTTTATCCAAGGGTAAGGACAGAAAGAGTGCTTACTACACTCATTTACATGTCACCATACAAACAGATAGGTGCCATATGGTACTATTTCTACCTTAACAAATAATCCAGTAAAACTTGTGTTCATATAAGCCATCCGATACCATATAGACAAAAGCAAATGGTTACTTAGCTCATGCTTCTTTGCTTCATTGATTGTGATTTTTTTTTCTTTATAAGAGCCTGTACTGTTTAAAAATTAATGTCAGGTTATAATTTTAAGATCATCAGCTCTTCAAAATGTTGGAACATAACATAGCAAAGGAGTTGCCAACAAGACTGCGGTACTTGGCAACTCTTTCCTACCAGATGTTGAGGGTAAAGCCTGGAAAGGCTCCTCCAGCCTACCTACCATTGCCTTTACCATACCCCCTCTTCCACAAGGGCTGCATTTGTGATTTTATAGAGACTAGACTTTGACAGATATTCTAGCTACAAGGGAGAAGAAATAAGATACTAAAAAGAGTATCATTTTCAAAGTATTTGCACCAAGAATTTGAAAATTGAGTTCCCCTTTTCCTTTCATTTTTTTCTCTTTTCCCCCACTTCCTCCCTCCTCCTGTTTCTCCCTCTTTTCCTTCTCAGTTACAGAAATGTAATGAATCCTTCTTGAGTTCCTATGATATGCTGGACACTTTAAAGCCATTAAATAATCAAGCAAATTAAACGTGTATTGAATTGTTTAGAAGTTGTACTTAAGAGATGCTAAAAATATTTAGAATTTAGAATATATCTGTATCAGTCTTAGGTTTTCAGTTAAGAAGGATTTATAGTAATTAAGACTAGAGGCAGTAATGTTATAAAGCTATATGCTAATACAAAAATCTTGAACAGATGGCACAAAAGAATGTGCAGGTCTTAGAATATGATTCCTCTAATAGTTTAATGGAGTTAAAAGATGCATTTTGGCTTTTAGTTTAAAAGATAACCTTATTTTAGAATAATGTTCCAAATGTCCACCAATAAAAATAAATAAGTTGTTACAAAAAACTAAAAATATCAAATAAATAAAGATATCAAATAAAACAATTACAGCATAACTACAGATGTCATTATGTTTATTACATTTTCAAAAAGTTACTGACCAGGGAGGGGATACATGTATGTAAAGGTTCATTAACTTATAGTTTGTGAGCCTAACTTTAAATACACAATATACTTTTCTTTTAAATAAAATTTAAAAATAGCTATAGTGCATGTATGTATTCTTGCCCACAAATGAATACATCCAATATTGCAATTTTGGTGTGTTCTTATATTTTAAAATTTTTATATAACGATTCCTATTCCAAGATAGACATTCTAACTTAGCACACACACGCATATATAATATACACTATCTATTTCAGCTAAAGGTATAGCTTTGTAAAACTTAAGTTGGCAACAGTTCTGTTACTGACATTAATGATACTCTTTAAATATTGTTTCCAAAATGTGAGAAGAGTTTGAATGTTATTAATATTGATTAAGGGATGATTGGTTAATTGTTTGTAGCATCCTCCGGTCAACAATCACAGACTGGACTCAGCTGTGTGATCCTCTGAGCCAAGTGCAGAACAGCAAATAGGTAGTTTCACTTATATACAGAATCTAGAACTTAAAAAAAAAGGACAGTTGTTTAGGGAGACTGGGGAAAGGAGGGGAAAGAGGTGCAGCTTTTGGGGAGAGGAAGAGGAAATGGGAAGGTGATGTATAAATACTATAAAAGTACATAATACATATTTATGAAGATAGAGTACCATGAAACCCATGAAAATTTTTAAAAGAAGACAGGTGGAGTAAGGGTGGTTAAGAAAGAATCGTTTAGATGGAATCAATTTGATCAAAGTACAAGTAATGCATGTTTTAAATATCACAATGAACCCTCCTCTTGGGAGGCGTCTGCCTCCCAAGTGCTAAGATTGTTGTTACGCATGACCATATCCAGCTACAAATACTTTTGATTAAAACATGCAAATATTGCTCTAAAACCCAATATATAATAATGGGAGAACTTTCTGTTTAGAACAGATCATAATGTATCAAGTGCTAGTTGGCCAGACCATTTTGATCATCTCTTCAGAAATATATCACAATCATGTGAACTTAATCTAATAACCATATTTAAAGTGATAATTAGAAAAAAGTAACATATATAAATTAGAAAAAGTAACATATATATAATGTAATGCTACCCCATTATTTTTATCTATTTCAATCATAATTTCATAGTTAGAATACTATCTCACTTGAACAATAAAATAACATGTACTTGGTTCCACAACATTTTCTCTAAACCTTGAGTTATACATTCAAACATAATTATTTCCACTGATTTCATAAATTATAATAGTTGATGAAGATTCTTCCTCACAGTTAGCCTTTTCCCTATGGGCCTTAATTATCTATATACCTATTACATGTTGAAAAGCTGGTTATTATAGTGTAAACATTATGATTGTTTTGGTTTTAACTTTTGGTAACCAGAATCTCATTTGTCTTGATATTTCTGTGAATTTTCATCTTCTTGGCTTCACTTTTAGACAAAGACCTGAAGATTAAATAGCAGACTTGTTCTGTTTCGAAGGAAAGTGTTCTTTTCGCTGTGGATTCTTAATGAATGCCAGTTGATGACAGTGAAGTTGGTGTTGATACTCAAGTATTCCAGTTATCTTAGCTCACCATCTAGTCTGTGTCAGCAAAGCTTAATTCCAAACCAAGTCCATGCATAATTGGCCATCATTATCACACAAATGGAAGGGCCCTACTTGGCCCCTGAAAGTTTTAAGTGGTATGAAATAGATTCCCTAATAGTTATGCATGTGATGAGATTTCCTACCCTTCAATTCAGTTGTATTTGTATTAAAATAAAAGTTTCTAAATAAAGATAAAAAATAAAGTGCACTCTAAGTGAATAAAAGACAACAAAAAATAAAGAACACTGAAATAGAAGACAAAAAGATGGAATAAAAAATAAACAAGGAGTTGGTAAAGGGCAAAATGTAATAGAAAACAAGAACATAACCCAAGTCAACCTGACTTGAACGTGCTTGCTTTAAATTTTGTCATGTCCTTCCATCTCAGGTTAATGGGTTTATAAATAATTAGGCTTATAAGAGAAGTATCTGTTTAAATTCATTATTTTAATCATATTTTTCTCATATACTATATTAGAATATTTACATTTAGACTTTTTTTTCCAGATTCTTTTTTTTTTTTTTTTTTTGGGTCCGGTCGTGGGGCCTGAACTCTGGGCTTGGGCGCTGTCCCTCACCTCTTCAGCTCAAGGCTAGCGCTCTACCACTTGAGCCA